ACATAATTATGCTTTGTGATGATGACTGGTGTAGAATATATAAATTTTGTACTTTTCAACAGTATACTGTACGAAGGTTCCTTTTTAAATATGCTTATATTACCTTAAGTAGTGAATGTAAGTTAAGCTCAAGTATTTCAAAATTCCATGGCAATGACCTACAGAAGAACATAAGATTTTCAAAATTGCACTGATAAATTGCATTAGAGGAATTAACTTTTAAAACTTGATTTTAGTCGGGAACGTTTTCTTATCTTCCAATATCTCTACAAAATATTTTAGAAAAGGAATACCCTTGATACTATAGTTTTGCGATAACCCTTCCAATTGATCAAGAGTTTTATTTCAGAACCAAAATCTGAAAGAACCACTAGAACATTTCACTGTGACTTATATGTTTGCTTTCGCTTCGATTTCTGTCTTAAGCTTCTCCACAATCTCGCGACGAGCTGCTAGAACGTCATCATTCTCGATTCCACCTCGACTACCACGCATCAAGCCTCTAGCTGCTTTGGCGGTTCGTGGACGTTCTTGTGAAGCTCGCTGACTTACTTCCTATAAGTTACAATAAATCGACGAATTTTGATGCACGTTCACCTACGTTCATCTGTTTTTCCCTTTCAGATGCTTTCATGGCAAGAAGACGATCTCTTTGCATTCGCAGATACTCCTCTCGACTTCGAACTGTAGCGGAATTAAGTCGAGACGGTTCTTGTAGAAGAGCCTGCAGATGTTCCGAAAAAGAGATTCAACTTATTTATGCAAGAAAAAACTATTTAAAAGCTTACATTGACATCGTAAACATTCTTTGTCCTCGGTCCTTGCATAAATCCTTCCTCTTCTTCTCCAGATGCAGTCTTTTTCCTTGTTTCATCTTTTTGTTTTCTCCCTTCTGTGGATAGCTGCAACAATCTTCAATTTTTGTTATATAAGAAATTTTTTTGAAAAATAGAGTAAGAAGATTGAAGGAAAGAATGTAATGATTTGGCAGTAGATAATGTATGTATGAGCGGGTGATGAGACTCTTGGGCGAAGGGTGGGCCCGTATAGGATACAATAAGAAATGTAATACAC